GGGCACTGAGTTCCTCGCCTGGGAGAGAGAAGCGCAAGCGCAGGAGGAAGCCCTGGAGGGCCGAGAACACAGACCCTGGACAGGCCTCCCACGGCGAAATACTCGCCCTCAACTCTGGGATAAATGCCACACCTCGCCCACTCCGGGACACTCGTCCTTCTCTGGCGGCTGCCCACCCGCGTGCCCTTCCAACATGGCGGTGTCCTCTGTCCTGGTCAGAACACTCACCTTCCTATTAAAACTTCCCTTTTCCAAGTGTTCGTGATTTTTCCTTTTGCATCTCAGGACGGGTATCTAATCTTAGAAACCTGGACCTTGGGGCCAGCAGGTGGCATGGTGGTTAAGGCGCTGGACTTTCCCACATGGCCGACAATGGTTCGAGTTCCTAGACCTGGTGGCTTGCTTTTTTACTTTCCCTCTCTCTCTCTGGTCAAATTAAAATAAACACATAAATGAATAAATGATAAATAAATAATTCTTTAAAAAAAAAAAAAAGATGAGGCTGGCAGGTGGCGTGGTGGTTAAGGGCGTTGGACTCCCGCAGAGGCAACTGTGGTTTGAGTCCTGGACCTGACGGTTTGCTTTCTAACTTTCCCTCTCTCTTTCTCTCTATCTCTCTTGCTCTCTTGCCCTGTCCCTCTCTGGACAAATTAAAATAAATAAATAAAGTTGGGGCCAGCAGGTGGCATGGTGGTTAAGGGCACTGGACTCCCACATGGTTGACCACGGTTAGAGTCCCAGACCTGGCAGCTTGCTTTCTTATTTTCTCTCTCTCTCACTCTGTCCTTCTCTGGGGACCAGCAGTTAGCGTAATGGCTATGTCACTGGACTCCCATGTAGTCGACCGCAGTTCACGTCCCGTACCCAGTGGCTTAAAACTCACGCTGGGCGTTTGTGTATGCATGCCCAAGATCCTGAGAGGAGAATGGAGGAGAAGGGATTGCGGCGTGGCCATCCCCCCTGGGGGGTGATTTCTCATTTTCTGTCTCTCTGTCTCTGTCTGGTGAGCTCACGTGCCCTATAGCAAAAACTTCTCAAAAAAAGAAGAAAAAAGAAACTGTCCTTCTCTGATAAAATTAAAAATAAATACATAAAGTTAAATAAAATAATTCTTAAAATAAATAAATAAATAAAATAATTTTAAAGAAAGGAAATCTGAACCTGAAGGACCAAGGATTTTACACAGCACAACTGAAGTGTCCCGCCCCATGACCGTCCTTCACACTTCCGTCCTTGCTGCAGCAACCCTGAAGGCATTGGGCTTCCTCAAATCCACCTGCAGGTTCTCTCTAACCCCCCTGCAGGTTCTCGCCCCTTCCCTGCTGCCCCTGTCTGCAGTGCCTCCTTCGTGCCACAGAAGCCCCTGTCGGGCTAATGCCCATTCATCGTCACGGTTCAGCCCAGGGGCCACGCCTAGTGGTATGGTGGGGAGCAAAGTGAACTGCAAAGCTGGAGCCACATGGACGACCGTGGTCGGATCCCCAGCCCGGCATGAGCACGTATGTGTAAGATCCTGCAGGGCTGGAGGGCTGGGGGAGGAGGTAGGGCATGACACAGAAGCCCCTGTCGGGCTAATGCCCATTCATCGTCACGGTTCAGCCCAGGGGCCACGCCTAGTGGTATGGTGGGGAGCAAAGTGAACTGCAAAGCTGGAGCCACATGGACGACCGTGGTCGGATCCCCAGCCCGGCATGAGCACGTATGTGTAAGATCCTGCAGGGCTGGAGGGCTGGGGGAGGAGGTAGGGCATGATGAGACAAGGTGCTTCTCCCCCGGGTGATTTCTTCGCCATTCTCCTCTCAGGATTTTAGGCATGCACGCACACACGCCTGGTGTGAGTTTCAAGTTGCCAGGTCTGTAACTCAGACTGCTGTCAACCACATGAAAATCCAGCGCCTTAACCACTGTGCCACCTGCTGGCCCTGTGTAAACAAGTTTTAAAAAGTCTGTGGGGGGAACTGGCAGATGGCGTAGTGGCTGTGTCGCTGAACCTCCCACATAGTTGACCATAATTCGAGTCCTGGACCCGGTGGTGCATGTGCGTGCGCGCCCAAGATCCTGAAAGGAGAATGGGGGAGAAGGGATTGCAGCACGGCCATCCCCCAGGGGGTGATTTCTCCCTTCTGTCTCTCTGTCTCTCCAGTGAGCACACACACCCTATAGCAAAAATGTCTGAATAAAAAAAACTGGGGGCTAGCAGGTGGTGTGGTGGTTAAGGGTGCTAGACTCCCACATGGCTGACCCTGGTTCAAGTCCCAGACCTGGCAGCTTGCTTTCTCACTTTCCCTCTCTCTTGCTCTTGCTCTGTCCCTCTCCGGTCAAATTAAAAATAAATTATGTTATTTTGTTTTATTTATTTATTATTCTTCAATTTGACCAGAGAGAGACAGACAGAGAGGAAGAATGAGAAGACAAGTCGCCAGGTCAGGGACTTGAACCACTGTTAGCCATGTGGGAGTTCAGCACCTTAACCACCATGCCACCTGCTGGTCCCTAAAATAATTCTTAAAAAAAAAAAAGAAAAAAAAAGCCTGAGAGGCCAACAGATGGCATAGCAGTTATGTCTCTGGACTCCCAGGGTTCAAGTCCCAGATTCAGTGACTTGAAACACGCTGGGTGGTGCCCAAGATTCCAGGAGAGTGGAGAAGGGACTGTGGCATGGCCTTCTCCCCTGGGGGGGGGGCATTTCTCACTTTCCTTCTCACTATCTCTGTCTCTCTATCCAGTGAGCACACATGCCCTAAGGCAAAAACCTCTTAGAAAATGGTTTTTTGGGGCTGGCAAATGGGTGGGGGAGGTGTCTGGAGGGGCCAGAAGGTGGTATAGTGTTTAAGGTGCTGGGCTCCTTCTCCATTCTCCTCTCAGGATCTTGGGCACGCACGCACACGCACCATCGGGTCCAGTCAACTCCTGGACTTGGCAGCTTGAAAATCATGCCTGGCGCACGTGTCCAAAATCCTGAGAGAATGAAAGAGACAGACCGTGGTCTGACTACACCCCCCACCTCCAGCCGGTGGTGGTGGGGGGTGATTTCTCACTCTCTTTTTCTTGTCTCTGCCTCTCTGGTAAACAGATCAGCCCTATAGAAAAAAAAAAATTCTCAAAACAAAATTAAAAATAGTGGAAGGGCCTGGTTTGGGACAGAGCTGGAGCTCCGAATTTCCAGCCCAGGTCTTCTTCCCCCGGCTGGCCGGGCCTGCAGCTCAGGATGATCACTGAGGGCAGCTCAGGATGATCATGAGGGCAGCTCGCTGTCTTTGCCAACATGCTGGGGGTGTCGCTGTGCTCACCTGTCCTTCCCTATCACTGCGTGGCCTCAACAAGCCCAAGAGCAGGAAGGAAAGTGGTGCTTTCTCAGCCCAGGGTTCCAGGACATAGAATGAGGGAAGGTGAGGAGTGTGAGGGGTCTTCACCCTTCACTTCAGCCCTTCTACCCATCACAGCAAACAGCCACTACTACACTTGGAGTTCTCCAAACAACTTTCATTTCCTCCAAGTCGTCTTAACTCCATGGAACAAGAAGCTGCTGCTGAATAGGGTCCAGTATAGGGGCTGCTTTCTCTTCTACACCCACCTACTCAATATAAAAATATAGACAGATTTTTTTCCTCCTGTGATTTCCCTATCTCCCAGCAAAATAAGAAAAAAAGAAAGAAATTAAAGAAAGTCTGGCAACTGGGGCCAGCAGGTGGCATGGTAGTTAAGGTGCAGGACTCCTACCATGGTCTGACTATACCCCCCACCTCCAGCTGGTGGTGGTGGTGGGGGTGATTTCTCACTCTCTTTTTCTTGTCTCTGCCTCTGGTAAACAGATCAGCCCTATAGAAAACTGGTTGGCCACAGTTCCAGTCCCAGCCCTGGTGGCTTGCTTTCTCATTTCCTCTCTCTCTCCCCCTCTCTTTGCCTCTCTGGTGAGCACACGTGCCCTGTGGCAAAAATCTTCAATTAATTAAATTAAGCAATTCTTTTTCTTTTTCTTTTTTCTTTTTTTTGCATAGGTACATTCAAAACCAGCATCTTGGGAACCAGCAGTTGGAGTAATGGCTATGTTGCTGGACTCCCACGTGGTCGACCGCTGTTCGCGTCCTGGACCCGGTGGCTTAGAACTCACACCGGGCGCTGTGCGTGCATGCCCAAGACCCCGAGAGGAGAGTGGAGGAGAAGGGATTGCGGAGTGACCATCCCCCCTGGGGGGTGATTTCTCGCTTTCTGTCTCTATGTCTCTTATCTATCTGGCGAGCGCACGCACCCTATAGTGAAAATCTCTCAAAAACAACAACAACAACAAAAACAACAACAACAAAAACTCCCAGGATCTTAGCCACTATGCCCGCGATATGACTCCAACAGCTCAGGAGTGATTGGCAATAGTATGAAGACCTAGGACTGTGTGAAGACGTGACATCCGGCGCATAGACGGAAATACAGTCTAGAACCTCTGACATAGCACAGGCTGCCTCGACCCCAGGTGAAAAGAGGCCAGCCCAGAAACGACCCAGAATCACAGGCAGAAGGAAACCTAAGCCAAGTGCAGTGGAGACCACCTCCTTGACATGATGCACCTTATCCTCCAGGGCTCAGGAGTTGGTTGTTCAGGTGGCTCAGTTAGATGGTGAAAATAGACCCCTAGGGACCTCAGCGCGATGATGTCATTGAAGAGGGGACCTCTGAGCTGGGGCTGCTCCGTGCGCACTCCGCAGCGGCAAGGGAAGGGTTAACAGCCGGGCGGCCCTCCCCGGTGGGCGGGGCCTCAGGGCGGGGCGCGGTCTGTGCGGAGACCAGAGTTAACCGCCGTGGCGGGCTCGGCGTGGGCGTGCTCCTCGGGGGCGTGGCCTGGGGGCGTGCCTTCCTCGCCGAGACCTGGGCGGTGTTAACCGCCCTGCGGGGGCGTGGCCTCGGGGCGGAAGCGGCGAGGTGCGGCGACGAGGGGGTTAACTGCCCCAGAGAGTCCCGTGAGGGCGGGGCCGAGGCCGGGCACCGCCCAGGGGAGGCCCTGGAGGCGGAAGCGGCGGGCGGTCTGCGCCCGGCGAGCTCGGACCTCTTTCGGCTGGGCTCATCTAAGGCCCAGCATCCTCTCCGGTTGGAAAGCCAAGCAAGGTTCAGGGCCAGGGTGGGGGGCCGGGATGGGCACGGGGTCCGGTCCATGGCGAGGCCATAAGAGGCGAGCTCCCGAGTGAGTCTCAGGCGCCCCGGTGGGGTGGGGGCAGAGTGATGGGCCTGGAAGCCTTGGGAGAGCGAGGGAGAAGCGGGCCTGTCGGTCAACACGGAAAGGATGGGGTGCCTGGGTGGGGAGTCCCCGTCGGGGCTCCGGCCTTCACTCCACCTTCTCTCCCATCTCCCCTCCAGGTAATCTCGAACTGGAACTCAACTTGAAGAAGAGAGACGCCCTAGCAAGGCTCTTTGGGGAGTCCTTCAGCTCCTCATCTCCATGGGCCAGACGGCCCTGGCAGGGGGCAGCAGCAGCACCCCCACCACACAGACCCTGTACCCTGACCTCTCTTGCCCTGAGGGCTTAGAGGAGCTGCTGTCTGCTCCCCCTCCTGACCTGGGGGCTCAGCGTCGCCACGGCTGGAACCCCAAGGACTGCTCTGAAAACATCGAGGTCAAGGAAGGGGGGTTGTGCTTTGAGCGGCGGCCCGTGGCCCAGAGCACTGATGGGGCCCGGGGTAAGAGAGGCTACTCGAGGGGCCTGCACGCCTGGGAGATCAGCTGGCCCCCGGAGCAGAGGGGTACACACGCCGTGGTGGGCGTGGCCACGGCCCTCGCCCCGCTGCAGGCGGACCACTACGCGGCACTGCTGGGCAGCAACAGCGAGTCTTGGGGCTGGGACATCGGGCGGGGGAAGCTTTACCATCAGAGCAAGGGGCCCGGGGCCCCCCAGTATCCAGCGGGACCTCGGGGCAAGCAACTGGAGGTGCCGGAGAGGCTGCTGGTGGTTCTGGACATGGAGGAGGGTACTCTGGGCTACGCTATCGGGGGCACCTACCTGGGGCCTGCCTTCCGCGGACTAAAGGGCAGGACCCTCTACCCGGCAGTAAGCGCTGTGTGGGGCCAGTGCCAGGTCCGCATCCGCTACCTGGGCGAAAGGAGAGGTGAGGTGTGGGGCAGGAGTGGGGAGAGGGTTCTGTCACTGTGGCAGCTTTGGGACGGAAACTCAAGGTCGGGCCAGAGCAGGGAGTGGGCCTTATCTAACGTGCTCCTAGCCCCGTTCAGTGCCAGGGAGGGCTAAGGGGTCTTCACAGCTGTTGTCTAATTTAATCTAACAGCAGCGGACTCGGGAAAGTAATTTCTAAGGTCCCTTGGCAAGTAACTCAGAATGGAGGGGACACTCCAGGGATGAGGGCTACTGCACTATTAACCCCTGAACAAGAGGTACAAAGGGTTAAATGGGCACTAGTCTAGACAAACCCAGAAAGGAGACTGGCAGCGGCAGAACCCAGGGAGTGTCTCCCCTTCCCTGGCCTCAGGACTGACTGTGACAAAGACCTACTTCCTTGGAGCCATTGGACCCTGGGTACCAGGGAGGGGTGGAGGCAGGGCAGTGGGCTGGGGCTGCAGGGGAGGAGCCTCCTTGGAAACTGACTGGGGCCAGGGCAGGACCCTGTCCTCCTGTCACCCTGGCGAGCCACTATCCAGTGGAAGGGGGTCATCCTCTTTCACCTCCTCCGCCCCGGCTGGCGGGGAATCAGAGCCTGGGCCAGCTCCACCGTCCAGCCACCTCTGCCTATTGCCTGGAGGGCCTCAGCCAGAGCCTCACCCCCAGCTCTGAGCTGTGAGAACCGTGCCATGCTGAACTTCAGGGTGCCTTAGGTCTCCCTTTTTGGCCAAGGTGGGGTCTCAGAGCAAGAGAGAAGGGAACCTGGGCAGGAGCTGTAGCTGGGATGTCCAGCTGGTGGACACACCCCTACTCACACACCTCTCTTCCCCAGGGGAACCGCACTCCCTTATGCACCTGAGCCGCCTGTGTGTGCGCCACACCCTGGGGGATACCCGGCTGGGCCAGGTGTCTGCTCTGCCCTTGCCCCCTGCCATGAAGCGCTACCTGCTCTACCAGTGAGCCCTGGGATTCCAGAGACCGTGTGGGGGCCTGGCCCCCACCCTGCCTGTCAGAGGTCAGGCTGGAGGCATGGCCAGCCTGGAGCAGCTGCTGAATGCCTGCCCTGAGGCCGAGTGAGGCTGGGCCCACCTCAACCCAGCACAGGGAAGTCCAGCAGTCCAGAGCCACCCCGAGGGGCCGGAAGAGGCAGAGCTGACATGGAAGGCTGCGGCAGCCTGGTACACAAGACTTTTTCAAGTAAAAGTAGCAAGAAAGTGTTCTAGAAACCTGTTCATGGTGGTTTTTTTTTCCCTTTTCCCTGTTTTGCACATAATGTCCTGTGGCTGCCTCAGAAGGACCAGGAGGGATTACATGGGCAAGTACAGTGAAGGATGGGCCAGGAGGCTAGAGCCAGGTGTTTATTGCCCTCACAGGGGACAGCTCACAGACACAACACACAGGCGTCGGCACCGTGGGAGGGTAGCACCCCGGCCTTGGGGGGGTCTTGGCCCCACGATGGTAGACGGCAGAGGAAGATGGTTTCTCTCTCTTAACCCTCACCGGGGCCTGCGGGGACCCATGAGTAAGCTCCACCCCTTCTACCTCGCAGTCGAGGAGAAGCCACCTTGGTGACATGTTTAGTTCCAACCATTATCGTGAGAAGGGGTTGGCCTGGTCCCAGCCACTTCTGGGGAAGGTACAGTTTGGATGAGGCCACAGGGCAGAGGACACCATCAGAAGCAGGTGCAAGGTGGGGGCAGTTATTTGGCTTCTGGGCTGCCTTCTGGCTTAGCAGGCAGGGCAGGGGGGATGGATGGGGCTTATTTGGCATTGATGATGTCCACGAACTCAGGCTTGAGAGAAGCACCACCCACGAGGAAGCCGTCCACGTCGGGCTGGCTTGCCAGCTCCTTGCAGGTCGCCCCTGTCACAGAACCTGGGGAGGAAGCAGGAAGGCTTAGTCAGGGACAGGAGGAAACACTCTATCCCTCCCTCCAGGTCGAAGGAGGGCTTGTAGGCTAGTTCTTACCCCACCCTTCCTCGGGCTGGAGCCAAACCCACTCACCTCCATAAATGATACGGGTGCTCTGAGCCACTGCATCAGAGACGTTGGACTTCAGCCATCCCCGGAGCTTCTCGTGAACCTCCTGAGCCTAAAGACAAGAAGCCAGATGAAGTAAGACCCTTTCTGACTCAGAGAGGGAGCCTCAATGGCACCATTGGAGAGGGCCCGTGTGGTATCGTCCGAGCGAGAGCCCTGGAACGGATGCCCTTTGGATAAGTTGCGTGTTTCTTTGGGAGTGAAAACGAAGGGCTGGTCTCGGTGGGCTCTGGCTATCCAGTTCTACCCAGGAAGGGCTGGATGAGGGCGGGGCTCCTGGGGCAGTTACCTGTTGGGGTGTTGCGGTCTTGCCAGTCCCAATGGCCCACACAGGCTCGTAGGCCAGGACAACCTTGCTCCAGTCCTTCACGTTATCTGCAGGACAGAGGTCACTGTCGAGGGGGAACAGGAAGGAGCTACCTAGCCAAGCTCCCCAGGGTATGAAAATGACAATGGCCTGCTGCCCCCCCTGGTGGCTGCTGAAGGATCTCAGCTGACACCCAGACCTTGCAGCGCAGAAGTGAGAGGGACCATGCGACCATGTGGGGACACCGTCCTGCCCCTTTCCTGTCCTGGATGGGCCTGGGGATGGAGTCAGGCTGCAGGGACTCTGACCGCACCCTCTGTGACTCCATGACCCTGGCCGGCCAGCTCAAAGGTCCCCCTTCCCAGACGTACCTGCGATGACCTTGGTTTGCTCAAACACGACCTTCTCCGTGATGCCAGCTTCCCTCTCGTCCAGCTTCTCCCCAATGCAGGCGATCACTCCAAGTCCCTCTGCCAAGGCATGGGCCACTTTCTGTCCAATCAGCTGGAGAGGAACAGACGCGGTGAGCCGTGCCTCGGAGGACAAGGCATCTCTTACCCGCCCTCCTGGTTACTAACCTCGTCTGACTCCCCAAAGACATGCCTTCTCTCCGAGTGTCCCAGGACGACCCACGTGGCTCCACAGTCTTTGATCATGCCAGGGCTACGGGAAGACACAAAGGCAGGGTCAGCAGGGACCCAGCCTGTGGCTTTCCCCGCAGTGAGGGAAGAGCCGATCCCCACACAGATCTGCCTCCATCTCACCTGATCTCCCCAGTGAAGGCGCCATTGGCCACTTTGTAGCAGTTCTGTGCAGCCACAGCGATCTTGGGATCAAGCTTCTGTCTGGCAAAGTCGATGTAGGCAGTGGGGGGCGCGCACACCACCTCTGAGATGAGATGGGAGGGGGCATGGGATCAAAGAAAGCCTCCAAGAGACTTCCTGTCCGGCTCCACAGCCCACAGCCCAGCGCCCAGCCCCAGCCCCTCTCCCTCTGCTCTGCTGCCCTCCCTCTCCACCCCAGCAAGATGATCTTTGCCCACTTCCCAGCCCAGGCTAGGCCTGCGCCCAACTCCTGGAGCCTTCCAAGTGCCCCTGAGAGGCCGCGGCCCTCACCCTGCCCTCTGCTCTTTTAACAAGTCGGGGCTCCAATTTCCCCGGGGCTATTCTGGGAATGGGTACCTCCCACACTCAGCATTCTCTGGGGGCCAACCCTGCCTCCTTTCTAAAACAGCCCATCCCCCCCTTCCTCAGCAAGGCATGGATTTTTGGCAAAAAGAGAAGGGGCCAGCTCCTGGGTTTGCATTGAGTTCCTGGGGAGATAAACGAGAAGGGAACGCATCTCTAGGCTCTGTGATCTAGCAGGGTGAGGGGCAAGGATCGAGGATGACACTGGCCGCGGCTGGCCGGGAGTTGATGGCTCAGAGGCCGTGCGCTTCCCGGTCTCAGATCGGGGAAAGCGGCTGGATCGCTCCTCACTCCCAAATGGCTCAGCTCAGCCTGTTCGGCACCTGCTCTGCCCCTTCTGTGGAAGGTAGACGTTGCCTAGGCTGCCGAGGGGAAGGGGGTCGGAACAGGTGGTTCAGGGCCCGGGGCAGCTCGGCTGGGGGCCTAGGCCCTCCGGGGGAGGAGTCTGGGGCTACGTGCAGCGGCGCACGGAGCGGGAGCGGGAGCGGCGGCCGAGGGGGCAGGTAGCTGGAAGCCCGCGTGAGCTGGGCCTCCTCCCCAACCCTCGGGGGCTTGCTTTAGCTTTCCCCGATAGCCCAGACCTCATGCTCCGCTCCGATCCTGGGCTCTGGCCGGTGCAGCGCGCCTGGGCCCCAGAGCTATCTTCCTCCCGGACACCCAAGAGGCCCTTTCCCGCCCCATTAAATGCATGCCCCACCTTTCCGCCGCGACACACGTCTGGGACAGCGGCTATGGGGCCACGACGACGCGGGGCCAAAGCCCGGCACTCGGCCCAGCACTGGGTCCAGGTCCACGCGGACGCCGGACTCGAGGAGCTCCGCAGAGGGCGCTGCCACGCCCGGCCTCCCATCCCCCCGGGGCCGACCCCGCCCTGGCAAGGTCTTACCGGTGTCGGCCGGCACCTTGGCCGCGTTCAGGGTGTTAATGAGGTCCCCCAGATTCTGCTTCCGCCCGTTCATTTTCCAGTTGCCCCCCACGAAGAACTTCCTGGAGGGCGCCATGGCGCTAGATCCGACACACTGAAGGTCAGTACCACCGCGCAGCCGTGGCCACTGCCCGCTTATATAGAGCGCGGTGAAGCAGAGCTCCGCCCCCTCGCCGTCCTCTGCCATGGCTAGCCCGGCCCCCTGCGAGGGAGCCCTGCCCCTAGCCCGCCCTCGCCTGCTGTTGCGCGGTTCTGACGTTCCCCCTCTCTGGTAGCAACGTTCTAGGCGCGGCGGGGGCGTTCAGCGCTTCTGCCTTGATGGCCTCACTTCAGGGAGAAGAACTGTGAGGCCCTGTGCTCAGGAGACCCCTCACTTCACGACTTCGCCCCCCCCACCCCCAGAGTGCAGCTAGCTGGCAGCAGCTTGGCCATAGACCAAGTTGCTCCCTGGGATTGAGCGGGCACGAGGGTATCTCTCTGACTCTGGGGGAGAGCCCTCTGCCCCCATCGGAATGGCTTGGTCCCGGGTTGCTGAGTAGGCACCTCGGCCTGACCCAGGCAGTCTAGCCCACAGCTGCTGGCCCAGGACAGGGCTCAGAGCACAAAACCAGCACAGCCGAGAGGGTTCGGGCGCTGGCAGCAGCTCCCTCCCAGGGGTGCCCACTCTGTTCCAGCTGGCTAGGGCCCGACAAGTCAGACATCTGAGAAAGGCTTGCTTGGGCCCCTCCTGTGACTGCTGGAGGAAGGCCTCTTCCCCCATCCTGGCTTTGTGCTTGGCCTTGGGCACCCTACTCCACCTTCCCATCTCACACCCAAGCTCCAGAAGCTCTAGAACTGGAAAACGTAGAGAACTGCCTGGGGCGGGGGAGCAGGAAGGGGACGGGATGGAACCGCAGGGAGGCTGGGAGGTCAGCATCTCCCATAGTATCAAACAGGACCCGATGGAACCATTGTACCTTTATTCACATCGTGTATTTTGGCATTTTCCAGAGGACAGGGAAGAGACAGGGTGGGGGAAGACCGAGGCAAGGAGGGCCCCCCATTTCCCTCATATCCCTCCTTGCCCAGCCACGCAGGGACAAACACAGAGGGGGAGGGCGAGCAGACGGTCCCTCCCGGGGAGAGGATGCACGAAGCTACACCCACACGCACACAAGTAAGACCCCTCCCCTCTGCAGCGGGGCTGGGCAGGATTACACAGCGAAGCAGGGCACTGTGGATCAGGGGCAGGGGACGCCCCTCCTGTCCCCTTCCTGCTCTGTCCCCAAAGTCTAGACAGTGCCCCTCCACTTTGCTTGGCCATTCCTCTATGGCCTCCAGCTTCTTCCCTGCTGCTGGGGACAAAAAGAAAAAGGACACAGAGCAGGAGGGCTGAAGTCCACCCCTCAGCCCATCTCCCTCATGCCAGGTCTGTCCCCTGCCGCAGTGGGAGGGGTGAGGGCAGGCTCTTAGCTGGCCACTCTCTGGTAGAAGTAGATGTAGCCCAGGTCCTTGGGCGGCTTCTCCGAGGCACACACTTTCTGGTCATTGTAGATGACCCACCTGGGGAAGGGACAGAGAAGGATGAACAAACCGGGCATTCCAAGGCGCCAGCTTAGTCCAAACGGACAGCCCGTGGCCACCCAGTCTCACAGGGCCTCTCCCCCACTCGGTGTCGCCAGGTCTCCCGGCTCCTTCACCAGCGCCCTGCTGTGAGGCAGGGGTCGGCAAGCCTTCCCTGCAGCAGCCAGACAGTAAGCACCTTCGGTCCTACAGGCTGTCTGGCATGTACCCCAACTACCGGATGCGCTGCTGCAGCAAGACCACAGCCAGACACTACGGCAACCAGGCGGCGTGGTGGTCCCGGGGAGACGGACTAACCAAGCACATGGGCAGGGCCGGTCCTCGGGCTGGCACCTGCCAGTCCCTGCAGCGAGATGTCCTGGTGTACCTACGCCCTTTGCCTCCTCCCACAGACGCCCTACTCCTTCCATCACCCCGTATCCGTTGGCAACACACACTCCGGCCTCACCTGCCCTCCTTCTTGATGTGGCAGACATAGTGACCGCACATGGTGGAGGTGCCCATGTGACTGATGAAGGCAAAGAGCTGATACTCTAGGGGAGGAGAGAGAAGCAGAGGAGGCGCGTGAGCTTCAGGGACTGTGGGCAGGGACTGGGTCAAAGGCCACTGCAGCCTCCGAGATTCCCACCATCACGTCACATTCATGGAAGGTTTGGACCCCGGAGAAAAGCAGAGCTGACTGGAAACAAGAAGCCTGGTGGGGCAGACCAGCAGACCCCGCCAGCCGTCTGGCCTGGGGCACTCACTTGCAGGACCGTCGCGGACCTTGGGTCCCACTGGCACGGACTCGGAGATGGAGTCAGCAGCCGAGCGGCCCTCCGAGATGTCCATGGCGGCCTCGGCGTCCAGGTCGTCGATGTGACTAAAGATCCAGTCGACGGCCCGTTCTAAACTATTGTTCTTGGGGAGGAGGGGAGTGTTACTTTTCCTTACAAGTTTAAGAGCAAGGAAACCAGCAGTGGGCTCAGCTCCTTCATCGTGGTCATAAAGGGCAGCGGGGCCTGGCCTCGGCCACACCACACCTGTCGCCGCGTTCTTGCACACAAAGGATCGAACATCGTTCCCACTCCCTTCTTCCCCACGGGCCCCTAGTCCTTGGCTGGGGCGGCCCATACCGTGGCCCGCAGCGCTTTCAGGGCCTGGTCCCGGGAGAAACCCATGGAGACGATGGTGGTCACACAGTCCTCTGGCGGGGGGTCGGCAGCTGCGCTTGTGGAGCCAGGCCCACTGGAGCCAGGCAGGATGAGGGGGTTTGCGAAATCTGTGGACGTGAAGGGGTTGAAGTGCTGGGAGAGGACAGAGGTCCTGCCCCACCCTGCTACCGGCTGCCCACCTGCCTACCTGGATCGTCCATGTGCGACATGACCCAGTTCATGGCGGCCTCGGCCCCGCTGTTGCCCGTGTAGTACACAGCTTTGCGGCAGGCGTCCATGGGGAAACCCATCTCCACCAGCTGGATGATGACAGACTCGTCCAGCATGGGCGCTGTGGTGGGCAATCGTGGGCACAGGACCCTGACTGTCTGGGCCGCTGCACGTACCTCCCCCGACCCACAGGCCAGCCCCCCGCCCGTCCCATTGCCCGTTCCATGGACTGGCACTTTCTCCCAGAGCAAAAATGCCCAGAAACCATAATGTGGATTTGGTATGCTAAAGGCTGCTGACTATGTCTACTCAGAATCGGCCCCATTTGCTTTTTCCGTTTTTGCCAGAGGGCACATACACTCAACAGAGAGGGAGGGAGAGGGAGAAAGCTCTCGGTGCAGTGCGTAGTCATGCCACGATCCCTTCTCCTCCACCTCCCGCTTCTGCAGGGTTTAGGGCACACACGCACAAGTGCCTGGTGTGTTTTTCTATCCTGTTGGCCAGGATTCAAGCCATGTGGGATCTGGCTCCCTTAACCATCAGGCCGTGAGGCTGGCCCGGGCCCAGTTTCTGGAGCACAAAGCTCCACCCCACCCGAGCCAGAGTGGTAACAGGGCAGGGCCCACGAGCCAATAGTGTGGCTTCCGCACAGGAGTGCGGCTGGGCGTGCTCCGGGCAGCCGCGTGCCCATCTAAAGCAGGCAGAGGAGATGTGAAGGGAGGACAGGAGAGACACACAGGACAGGGCGGGGCAGGCGAGGCAGAGGCAGGCAGGAAGAAGAGTCACTAACATGTCGGAGAGGAGAAGTGAGGGGAGCAGAAGGAGTCTTCGTCTTCGTTGCCATAGAAACCAAGGCTACCTTTGGGCTCATCCGGAGTGACCAGGGGTGGGGCAATGTCAGGTAGCTCTTCCTCTCCCGGCTGCAGCCCTGTGCCCCTGAGCTGGGAGATGTCCAGCTCCTCTGGCATCTCAATGGACACGTCTGCAACGGGATGGGCCGGAAACAGGTCACTCAGCAGCCCCCAGGGTCCACCTGGAAAAGCCTGGGCCAGTCGCAGGCTCCTGCCCCGCATCTTGGACCCGCTCTGTAACTGGGAGCTAAGTGCGGTGGCAGCGAGGGGGCCCGGGTGGGATACAGTGATGGCGCGCCTGAGAGCCAGGGTCCCGGGTCCCCGCCTCCTTATCTAGGAAGCGAAGGCCCAGCAGCAGCACTCGAGTCACAGGGACCTGTATGACTTGAGGACTGTTGCCAGACTGTCAAAAAGAAGACATGCTGTCGATTGTGAAAGCCACAAAGATTGCTTTTGTTGTTAAAATATAAAATCTAAGACGTCCTAATATTTTTAGTCAATGTGTTCCAAGATAGACACATTTTGGAACATACATCTCAGGTCATTCCTTGCCCCTTTCAGAGGAAACTCTGAGAAACACTAGTTTACGTGTAGGGGCCTCACTGCATTTTCTGCTCAACCTCCCTCACCCCAGCCACCATACCCAGTTTCTTGGGCACCCAGTCTAGGCCGAAGGTGAACTTCTTGATCTGGATGACCAGGTAGTCAGGGAATGAGGCAAAACGTGTGGTCCTAGGGAAGAGAGAATGTCCTGGCGCCCAGGGAACCACGGGGGTTCTCTCCTGAGGCCCCCACCCTGCGGTACAGCTCTCGTGGGGAGAATCCCAGTGTGACCCAGATCTTTCTCGGGCCCTGGGGAAGCACCAGAGCTTTGGCCCATAGGGAGAAGCGTAAGTCAGAAGGAGGGATTTTTGGGTTGTTTTGTTTTTGCCATAGGGCATGTGCACTCACCAGAGAGAGGAGAGACAGGGACAGGGGGAAAGTGGGAAATCACCTCCCAAGGGGGATGGCATCCAGTCTCCTCTTGGGATTTGGGGCACACATGCACATGTGCCTGGTGTGACTTTCAAGCTGCCAGGTCCAGGGCTCAAACCGTGGTCAGCCATGTGGGAATCCAGCGCCTTAACCGCCATGCCACCAAGGAGGGCTTTCACTGGCAGGAGCAGCAAAGGGCTGGGGGGGCTGACCCCAAGACGTGCTCTTTCAGAGCTCAAGCCTGTGCCAGGTGACCAGGCCAGGAGAAAGTACGGCCACTGCTGGAGAGCCGAGCTGCACCCGGGGTGATGCTAAGTGCCTGCGCTCAGCCGTGTGTGAGGCAATGCACGTGGAGCCTGCACCGGGAGAGGCGCCTACCATGAGGGGAGGGCGTGGTCTGGCCGGACGGGATAACGAACGCGGCAATCACCCATGTCCACCTCAGGGAGGGCCTCCTGGTTCCCTCAGGGCTAGCCCAGCCCAACTGATTCAGCCCCCCGATTCCAACCACGAAGGGGTCAAAGAACAGCAAAGCAATGAATCTGTCTCTTCGGATTACCCCGCTGTCGGCCCTGGGCCTTAGGCCAGACCAAAGGACTTACTTGACAGCCACTGATTTGGCCTGCAAAGCCGTGCTCCAGAAGTCGTCCACCTGCTCAGGGGCCCCGTAGGCCTCCACGCAGGAGCTGAAGGGCACCTGGGCCCTGACCAGCTCTGGCAGTGGCATCTTCTCCTCCTCGGCTTGCCGCTTCTTCTCCTCATACTCCAGAAGCTCCTCTGGTGACAGAACAGTCAGCGGCCCTTTTGGAGGTGCTGCCTCTTTCCCCGTGTGGCCTCACCGTGTGGGCTTGGTGACCGTGACTCTTTCGGTCCTTCCACTCTCCCTGAGCCTACCATGACATCTTGCGTGTCTCCATGTAGTTCTCACAAGCTGCGGGCAGGGTCAGCCCTACCTAGCCCGAGGGCCCAGCTGCAGATCCCTGGCTGTGGGGCAGGCACCCTGTGGGCTCTCTGCTTAGCAGGTGGCCAGCACGCACGCGGACCTTAGTCCCCAGCCTACCTTTGTTCAGGGCGGCGTCCATGGGCACGGGCAGCTGCATGATGTAGTCCACTCGCTGGGTGTACTTCACCTTCTCTGTGGCCAGGCACTTGATCTTCTCCTCCACCAAGAAGCGGAACACTTCGTTCGGATTTTCAGAGCTCCGGCAATTCCTCTATGGGAAAGAGGCCGGGTAGGGAGGTCTGGGCAGCCAGAGCACAGAAGGGGGCCTGAAAGGTGCAGCGGGGAGTCCTGAGAGCAGGGACTGGGAGGGAGACTGCCACTTGGCACAAGGAGGGCAAGCCTGCCGCGCCGACCACCGCTGTCCTGGCCGTCAGAGCACTGCAGACCGCGCCGTGGACAGGAGCGTGCTTGCACTTCCCTTACGAGCAGTGAGCACCTCACAGCACTTTCTGGTGGCTGCAGCCCCATCACGGGAAGGGCCTCGGCTCGTCTGTGCCTTTCTTGTGGGCACCCCCAAGGAGGGCCAGTGCAGGGAGTGAGGGTCTTCAGGGTGGGGCCAGGCGGGGCTGACAGGAAGTATGTGCAGCAGGCAGAGGACGAGACAGACACGGGTGTGAGCGCCCGCCCTCTCTGTCTCCGGCCCTACCTCCACCATGTTGATGAGGTGAAGGAAGAACTCCTGGGCATCCTGCTGCCGGTTGGTGGAGAACTCGGGATGGCCCTTGCCGATGAGAGCCTTGAACATCCGAGGGGCGATGCCATCTTGAACGTCCTACGCAGAGCCAGGGCAGGGACTAGGCCGGGGACCAGAGGCCATCAAGGGCCTTCTTTAAACATCTCCCAGGTTTCAGCTTCCCCATAATTCCAGAGTCCCAGACTCACCCTTTGTTCTGACGCCTGCTCCCCATCGCCCGATTCTGGTGCGGGCTTGGAATACTCTCCCGAGAGAAGGCCATGGCCCAGCTTGGCACTGTGTAAACAGCCAAAAAAACCACTTGGCTTCAGTCAACTAATGACCCTCATCTCTTCCTGTGCTTTTTTCCTCCCCAACTCAAACCCTGTTCGTGGCACCCTCAGACGACTCTGTAAAATGGGAAGCCCTTAGGTTCCACAGGAACGCAAGACGGGCAGCACGTCCCGAAGGCAGTCACCCGCGAGCTTCCAGCCTGCCAGGGCCTACACTGCTGCCTGCCCCGGGTGGTCATGGAGGAGGAGGAAGGGTGGGGCCTGTGAGGTTCAAAAGCCCTGGCTCACAGGGCCTGGCTACATACACCTGGGTGCTGAAGTCTTGGGTAGGGTCCGTCGGGGCATTCTGGAAGATCTTCTCCAGCTTATCCACATACCTAAGAGCCAAGGGAAGGGTCATGGGAGGGCTTTGGCCTGAGCGCCAAGGAAAAGGGAAGGGCGCAGTTATCTGCTAACTCCACAAACAAGTTCCCCCGAAAGGAGTCAGAGTCACCGTGGCTGGACCTTGGGGTCCTCTTCTCTCTAGCACCTGCTGATGCTTGATGTACTTCCTTCGATCCTGCATGCCCTGCCCCATCCCCACGCGTGTCAGTGTATGGTGTGCCTGCAGCGCTCCGTCCCTGCCTCAGCCCAAGACAGAGCCAGGAAGGGAGGGGACAGCCACCTGGGACTGGGGCAAATACAGTGCACGAACCATTGGGCAGAACTTACTGACCCACTCAAGCTTTCATAGTCTAACTGTTTCCCATCAGCCATAAACTTCTTTATGCTCAGAAGCTGCCATTCTCGGGCCGCTCTGGGGCCTGGTGGTTAAGGCAGCCAGCTGCCACACGGCTGACCATGCCGAGTCCCCGACCTGGAGCTTGAGAAACGTGCTGGGTGGGGCCAGCAGGTGGCACAGTGGTTAAGTCGCTGGATTCCCCGGCGACTTGAAGAGCACATGATGTGCGTGTGACCATGTACCCCAAACCCCAAGAGGAGCCTAGAGAAGGGATTTCGGCATGGCCAGCCCTCATGGGGGGAGGAAACGTTCTCATTTTCCCTCTCTCTGTCTCTCTGTCTCAGGCAAATGCACATGTCCTATGACAAAAACCTAACTAAATAAGTAAAAAGAAAAGAAAAATCTGCTGGGTGCATGTGAGAACATACCCATAATCCCGAAAGGAGAAAGATAGGAAGAACAGATTGCAGTGTGACCATTCCCCACAAGGGGTGTTTTCTCTCTATTGTGAGCACATACACCCTCTAGTGCAAAACAAAAGTTGCCTTTCTTCCACTTACTGTCCCAAGCCCTCCTACCTCCCCTCTTCCCCAGCACACAAGTCCATGTAAGGTGCTCATTTGACATCTCTGCCTAAAATCAAGGCCACCAGCTGACGTGGGTTCATCAGAAGGCCCGGGATTTGGTGCTGCTGTCCGGTGGGCAGCATGCGCCAGGTGGATGGCGGTGCAGCTGTGTCACTTGCTGCCCCCACAGCACGCTAGCTCCAGTGTAACAGGAACTGTTCTGAGCCCGAGACCAAGCGCAGAGGGACCGAGGGCAGCTGGAGGGGGAGTGTGGAGTGTGCCCAGGGGCTGGCGACTGGGAGGAGCAGGGTGTGTGAAGGTCCAGAGCAAGGGGCCAGCGCTGGGGAGAGGGCAGCACTCACTTCCTCTGGAAGTCGGGGATGCTGAACAGCACCTGGACCACGGAGTTGAGGTAGCAGCTGTTACCCAGGTTCCGGATGCCTGTGTAGCCGGGCCCGAACAGGGGCTTCAGCGGCACACTCGACTCCTGGATCAGCTCCCACTCGCCAACCCGCTGGTTCATATCTATCTCCAGCTCGGTCATAGTCTTGTCCGTCTGTGTGGGAAGGGGCACTTCAGACTGGGCAAAGAACCCGGCCTTGTACCACTACTGAGCTCGCGCTGGGTCCAGGGTGATCCCCGGCTGCAGCCTAGGACTTGTGCGGTTACAGACTCAAACACGGGAAGGCGCTGAGTATCCTCTGGTCCAAGTTCTAGAAAGCCGCAGGTACGCGGCCCGAGAAGCCTGTTAGTTACCAGGCCTCTGCTTGAATGAGGAAATGAAATGGGTGAAACTCTGTGCTTTAAATGTTTTGTTTTCCATTCTGAAGTTATCCCTGCTCACCCTTCAGACTCTCACTGGAGCATCACTGCCTCAGGAGGCGTCTGAGCCCTACACTAGGCTCCGTCCCTGTGTCACGTGCTGCGGTACCCGCCACCCCTCTCCCACAGGTGCAATTAGTCCCCTGCATGAGCGTGTGACAAATGCCTGCCTCTCCTGCTAGAAGGTAAGGACGACAGCAAGGACCACGCTCACCTTACTCGCACGGTAACTATACCTATCGCGTACTGGTGGAGCGAGTACACGGTTCAGAAAAGTTTTCAAAGGCAGCCCACATGACTTGAGGACCGGGTTAACGGCGGGAGTTCTCTCCAAAACCCTCCCTCAGCCTCAGCAGTGGAGAAGGGCCTCACAGGGCAAGGAGAAGACTCTGGGGCTGACAGGGTCTTACCTTCTGCATCTTCAGCATGTCGATGCCAAAGTGGGACAGGTGCTCAGCCAGGTTGGGGTCTAGGACCATGTCATCCTCGTCATAGGAGTACACGTCTAGACCCAGAGGCAGGAACAGTGTCGGGGCAGTGGCTCAGGACTAGCCTAACCACCAATCCCACCTCCTGCCTAGATGGGCCTTGAGGGGACAGAAGGACAGCCTGAAGGGTCACCCTCTTGGCTCCCTTGAATATCAGTGAGGCCATACGGTCCTTCTGGGATTGGCTGTCAGGGAGGTGGAGTGAAACAGAGTGAGGGTTGAGCTCATGTTAACCCTGATTCTGTCCCTGCTGGATAAGTGAGTAAAGGATCTGGGTTTGGAAGGACGTTTACTGAGCAGAGGACGATGGCCACCTCTAGGAAGGGGACTGGGATCTGTGTGTAGTGGGGGCAGAGCCCGAACTGTGCGGCCGGGCCTAACAGGGGAGTGAGCAGCACACTCGGTTTGGGATCAGATGGGGGCGGTTAACCGAAGAGCAGTCCCCTGTACTATCTAAGCATTCACGTATCCACGTAGGACTCGCGTCCCATAAAATCAGTAACTGATGGCGTTAACTGTGAGGTGGCTAGAGGAGGGGCGGGGGTACCGGCTCCGTCGGGCGTGATGGTGCCCAGCTTGACGGCCAGCGGGTAGCCT